GACATTCATAACAATCAACATTCACAATCGCAGAGAGTTTCAGCTTGCAGTATTCGTCTGATTGACAACTGTATTTATAACCACATCAAAACATCCGGTAATTGCCAATGTGGACATTAGAATTGTGTCTGCAGACGAGTATTTGAGCAAACATCGCTGCCGTAATGCAGCGATAACGATTTGTTTATGTGTAATTTTGAGAATGCGAGAATGTCATTGCAGGATGGCCGTGGCCTGTGTCTTGGTTTCGACCGTTTCCCGTTGTTCGCTTGAACAGACTCTTTCGCATAGACAGAGTCCGTGATTGCATCGAACGGACAGAGACAAGGTTGATCTTATACCTTCTCCAAGCTGCTCATTAGCATTTAGTTATATGCTAATGAGACACATTGAAGGAGTTCAATGCCAAATGCGTTTCGCGTGCTCTGTGTAGTGTGGTACATCATTGTGATTATCCACTGGAATGCCTGCTTCTACTTCTGGATATCGGAGATGATAGGGTTAGGATCAGATGGTTGGGTATATGGTCCACTGAATAAGCAGAGCTTGCCGGAGTCAGTCACACTTGCTTCTTATCTCTAACTTCGCAAAGATCTTCTGCATGTTTTAGGAATGTGAGGGACACATTACTTCGTCGCTACATATACAGCTTTTATTGGTCAACTTTGATCTTGACCACGATCGGAGAGGTAAGGAAATTTCTGTAAAAGTACAACAGCATAAACAGTAAGGTATCTTCTGACACCTTTGTCTTGTAAGAGTATGAAGTACTTGAGCATTTCGATTGAATGTTTGCTTTGGATAGCTACCACAAAAATCGACATAGCAGCATCTTGATAGTGACATGATGATGAATCTGTCCTAAATCAGATGTGGCAAGGGAACTCGAACACAGATCGACAACTGTGCAAGAGTTGGTAAACGAAAACCGGCTTCTTTAAATGTGTATGCTATGCTATCCTATACCAAACCATACGGCTTTGAAAATGAATTGACTTTAGATTTGAAACTCTAAAAGTTTTCCCATATCAATTCCAAGCAAAAAGGTTCCTGCGATTCACTCTCTGAGAGAATTCGAAAGTATTATTGGACTATTATTTGGAGGGAGATTGTTGTCCTTCATCGTGTGCAAGGCTTTTCTAAATGCCAACAGGCAACATAAGTTTAACCGTTTTCTAGAAACAAATCGAATTTTCACAAAAAAGTGTATAACTTGCGGTCAATACTTCCTATTGTTGGGAATGATTCAGGTACCTGGACCTGTACAGAATATAGAATACCTATTTGTGACGCTCGATTTGATGTGTGGTGTGCTCATCTTCGCTACTATCGTCGGTAACGTCGGAAGGTTGGTATAAGATTGGAATTATCATCATACTCACCCATCTTGTTACAGTATGATTTCTAACATGAGCGCCGCTCGAACAGAGTTCCAAAACAAAATGGACGGCATCAAGCAATATATGGAACTGCGAAGAGTCAGCAAGCAGGCAAGATTGCATAAATCTCTCGTCAAATCTCATACACCTATTTTTCGTCCATTTTATAGTTGGAAATGAGGGTTATAAAGTGGTTCGATTATCTCTGGGCCAACAAGCAGTCGCTCAGTGACCAGCAAGTGCTAAAGGTGTTACCCGACAAGCTGCAAGCTGAAATCGCCATGCAAGTGCATTTTGAAACTTTAAGGAAAGTCCGCATTTTCCAGGTGTGTGCCATAAGTTCATATTTGCTTTAATTGTGATAGTACTCTTAAAAACATCATATTCTATGTCGCAAATGTTTAGGATTGCGAAGCTGGACTTTTGGCCGAGTTAGTGCTGAAGCTACAATTACAAGTGAGTTACGGTAGATTAAAAAGTAAAAATTACTGTGTTCCGGCAAAAGTCTTCATTTATTCCTAACCTTTAGGTATTTTCTCCTGGTGATTACATTTGCCGGAAGGGTGATATAGGAAGAGAGATGTACATCGTAAAGAGAGGGAAACTACAGGTTGTTGGTGATGATGGGCAAAAGGTAATTCTCATGTATGCTTTATAAAGCAGAAACCATAGGCAATTGTTTTGAAGGTCTTTGCAACACTGCAAGAAGGTGCGGTCTTTGGAGAGTTGAGTATTCTCAATATTGCAGGTATTTGCCTATATTTTTTGATAGAAGCTCTTATGGCGCAACGTTGTTAGGAATGAAGCAAATTGAATAAGTCAGGATTGAGCAAAAAAAACATTAGGGCATTCTATGTTCCTTGACTACCTAACAAAGAGAGAAGCATCCAAAAAAATTAGCGCATCGCGTTACTTCATTGTTCATTTTTTTCCCATACAAAAGAGTTTTCTTGTTTCATTTTGTTCTTAAAGACTTCTAAGTTAGATTACCCAGTTTGTTAAATTACTCACATGCTTTATAATTGCAATATCACTAAACAATACTTTGACCTTTGAGCAACATTGTGTATACTACAATAAGTGATGTTCTTTTCAACTCTGAGAGTAGCAACATAAATATGAACACTTCATTCCCAGAACGCCCAAGCCAAGGTGT